TATTTAGTAGAAAATCTGCTGGAAGCAATATTATGTATTTAAAAATCCAAAAATGTTTTAATATTATAATATAATGTTATATTCTTATACATTTACATATATAAATCTTCGGCGGAATCGATATATAAAAATATTCGGCGGGATTTATAAACTCCCAAAATTATACATATAATTTATTTTAATAAAAAAAATATAATAAAATACTTAACAAGAATAGTGTAGAGAGATTAAGTAGGATTAAATTACATTTTATATCAGGGATTGGAACAGTTTCCAATTCCTGTTATTATTAAAATATTATTCCTTATCTAGTAAATATACTATAATAAACCATCGTTTCGTTAAAAACCCGTTTAAGTATATTATATTCGTAATTAGAGACGTCCGGAAAGGGGAGCCACACTGGACTATAGCCCCCCCCCTGAGATTTTTCATGTCAGTTACAAAATTGTTACAAATTTTATCAGTATATAAATTAATATTTAACAATAATTTTTTTAATTATGTTTCAGTACATGGATTAGATATAAAATGGGATACGAATGACTGAGTACCTAAGCTTGGGGTTAATTAATATACACCACGAAAGATATGATGATAAAACATTTTTTAATCGAAAAATTGATGATTCAATCAATTTATTTGCTTCATATATTATATCAATCGAAAAACTACCCCAGTATCTTATTTAATATATCTTACCTAAAGAAATACTGGTATTCTGATCTTGCTCAATGTATTCTTTTTCTTTTTCATAATTTTTCGTTTTGTTCATTTCTCTAAATACAGAGTTCTTTTTATAAGCGACAAGAACGTCATAACGTTATAGGCTTAAAATCATTACCATCAGTGTAATAACCATTATAATATTATAATATGTACATTTAATTTCTACGCCATTTTAATTGTTTTCAAATTGTAATTTAATTTTCTTACGTCATGTTCTTTTGCTATCATTTCAAATTACTCGATTGGCGGGTTCGGGTTGTTGATGTGTCCTTGGTTTTCACCTCATAGGGTAGTCTATGTTTTACCTGCAAATCTAGAGCTGTTGAAATTTTTATCTTGCTTAAATTATTTATATCCATGGTGGGATAAACATTTTTTCTTTATTAATTATCCATTACCATTTTTATGCTTCCAATTATTTTAACCGTTTCATCGGCTTTATATAAATTGTGAGTATTTTACCTAACATAGTTATATTTAAATAAGTTTGTTCTGTATTTTACTGATAATTTTAGCCTTTTTTATTTTTTTTAGTAAATAATTCTTATCGAAAGTTAAAATTACTCCTTTAAAAAAATGTAAAAATGTCTTTATTTCACCTATATTCAATTTTTTTTAAGCACTTTTTAGTTATAATATTAATTTATCCTTTCTTCTTCACCTTTCTCCCAATTATTTGGGGTCGGCCAACCTTTTCCTAAACCTCCACTCGTCTCAATTTTCTACATCCCCTACTCGAACAAGATAATTTATTTTATGCTAATTAAATGTTTTAAAACTTATTCATTATTTATTATAAAATAAATATACATTTTTTTCAATTCTTATACACAAATATGTAAACATTATTGAAATGAAAATTTTCCAAGATATTCTTTGGCGTTTTATTGAATATATATATATATATATATATATTGTATATACATGTATTATTATCAGTTTAGATAAAAAAAAAAAGATAAATTAAATTGAATGTCCTAAGTTTTAAGTAAAAAATTAATTATAGACTAGTAACTATTCGTATGTAACGTATAGGCTTCTTGAATCCTTTACGTTTTATTTATTGTTACTATAAATGAAATGCAGTCTATGTTTTTTACACTTTATTTATTAGTATTTATGTACAGGATTTATTAAAATATATTATCTTAATGTACTTAGTACCCACATTTTGTAATAGTTTAATATTTAATCTACTAAAAAAAAAAAAAAAAAATTGTCTAATATAGCTATGCCATCTAAATACTTGATTTCAGTAAATTATAAAATTGTCTTGTTATTTAAATTTGATTCTCTTAATTTGATAAAATAAAATACTAATGCTTATTTCTTTTTCTGAGTGTCTTTCACTAATATAATGCATTTAACTGAAAAACAAATATTTGTTAATTGTTAGAGATTTTCTTGAGTTGCCTCAATTTTTATTTGTGTCACTTGATGTACATTGTTTATACACTATATTTATGTACAAAACTGCAAAAACCTATTTTATATAATTTATTAGTTAATTCACTGAAAAAAAAAAATTAAACTTATTTTTACAGTACATATTTGATGGAGTTCAATAATTTAATGTAATATATTTATCTTAAAAATATATTGATTTAGTTTACTTTCATTTTTCATCATGATTTATAATCAAAAAAAGTAAGAAAAAAATTGTGTGTTGGTATTTAGATCTACTACTTATAGAAGTCGTATTATATATATATGATACGGATACAATAAATAAAATGTTGTCTCTTAGATTACAGAGAGAATACTTTAGGAAGCTATTGAATGTTGGGTCATTTATTTAAAGGATAAGGTGGTAAATAAACCATTTTGAATCTTTTGTTAAGTATGACTTGTACCTACCGTTATAATTATCAATTATATAATATATAATATATATAATACATACATTAGAAAAAATTGTATTAAGCAGTTAATTTTCACCTTAAATAAACTGATAGAATCCTAATCTACCAAATTTATGATTCATCTAATGATATTGATAATTAAATATATAGGTATATGTATTTGAGTAGAAAGTTTTTTGAATATTATTTTGAAGAATTGATTAGATAGGATTAATTTATTTAATTTTTCTGTTACCATTACAAACATTATATACAAATACTCTTTAATAAAACAAATGTGTAGGGGATGTAGAAAACCGAAATGAGTGGAGATTTAGAACAAGGGTGGCTAACCTCAAATAGCTGGAAGGCGAAGGAGAAAAAGAAGACTCTTTACTAAAACAATACAATAACTGATCAAATTTATTAGTCATCAAATAATTAATATTTAACCGACAATAAAAGAATTATTTTAAAATGCATCAAATATTACAGATAATTTAACTAAATTTAACTTTTAAGTAAACACATTCTATCAAACTCTTGCATTTCTTCTGTGTTTGTTAAGAAGTTTCCACATAAATATTCAAATTAAAATTGATATTGTAAAAAAAAAATCATTTAAGTCAATTAACATCTTATTTTATTAGTAATTTGAAAAATATATTATACATTTTTAGTACTTTTTTAAATGTTTAATATAATAAATAATTATATATTTATTTTTGTAAAATATTTAAAAAAAAAATACTATTAGATAATCTGATTGGAAGATAAGCCTTTTAAATAACTTGAACCATAACTTATTTTTAATGTCATTCTATAAATGGAATAATTCTTGTATTTTTTAATTAGTGAAATTTTGTGCCGAATATAATTATGCATGTCACTATTTAACTACTGACCTCGTTTATTTTAAATACATTTTATATTACTTCTTTCTTTTCCTCTATTGCTTAATAATTTATTTAAAACAATAATTTTGTTGATTACATTTTTCCAATATTCTCACAAAAAATTATACATATCATTGATATTTACATCAAAACATTATTATTAGGCCTGGGATTTATATGCAATAAAAATTGTATAATATGCATTTTATTTACCAAAATATGCAAAAACAAATTTTTTTATTTCTAAAATTATTATTCATACTTATATTTATAGGTATGTATTGAATACATTAAATATTAGTTTACACTTATATAGTTTATAAGTCATACAAATTAAATGAAATAATTTTCTATTGTCTCACAAAAGTACTAGGTACCTAACATGATCTAGTCCCATTAAATTTAAACCCAGGCCGAGCCCGGCTTTTTTTAAACAAGACACGGGCGCTGGGCTTTTAAATTTTCAAATCTATTATGTATAGCTAATACGTCTAGTTTATACTTGTTTTAACCTTTGAGTAAATATTTTAGATCTCCAGATTTGTTAAAGTTCTTATGTTCCAAGTTCCCAAATTTAGTTCGTTTTCCGATTTCAGTTGTTTTCCATGATTGATCCAGTTCCGAGGCTTATTTGATGGTTTCTTAACGGTAAAGTTTTTTATAATGTCGAGTTTTTAGCCCGACACTCAACTCCCTAACTGAAGGACCAGACTATCCCAACCAATTAAGGTAAGGGTTGGGCTACTGCAGTACACATATTAAGGTACACTGGGCGAGGGGAGCGCCACTTTCCATATGCTTCAGCTTGCTAAACCCGTAACACTAGGTGTTCCCCTGAGGGTGCGTATGAATTTATATAATGTATAATATATAATGTAATGATTTAAAATTAAACTAAATTATTTAATTATTTATTTAAATTAAATTAAGATACCGAGAATGGTTATATGTCCTTAAATCAATTACTTATTATATTATAAATAAATAATATTACCTCTCCGGTCCTTGTATCGACTTGATTGTTGAAACCGTGGTTGACACCTGAGATATAAGATAAGGTGACCAATTTGTATTTTAAAATAATAATAACTTTTTCTTTGACTCACTATTTTTAATTTTATTTAAACTTTTTTAACATTCATTAATACATGTATTTTGAATTATTACAAACCGTTTACAACTAATTATGTCTTTCTACATAGACCATCTGCGTAGTCTTTTATACTCACTTTTGACCGTCTGTACAAAAAGACAATAAGAACGCGTCTGTCCACGTGACTAAAAACTGAGCTTCTTATATTTAATGTTATATGTGTGTGTGCACGTGTATGTGTGTACGTGTGTGTGTGATATCTTATCGTTCTATTTTATTCTATTCAATAACTTATCCTTATCTTTAATGGGTAACAATTCTTATAATTATTTTATTATACATTAAATTTTAAAAATATATGATTGCTTAGGCCGCATTTCATTACAATAATAATAGCCTAAAGGTTCCGTGGGACAATCTCAAGAGTTCCGCAAGATCGATATGGATATTGAGAATAGAAACTGTAATGAACAGTAATCGTGAACTATACTTAATTAACATTTTTTGGAACACTGGTTTTTCAATAAACTGTCGATAAACTGGTGTGAAGTTGTAATCAGAGACATTGAAGTTTCACGAAACACAAACTATTTCCTAAGGTTTCCACGGTCAAAAAAAAGAGTTTGGGAACCGCTGCTCTGTTAAGTGCATCGTTAAATAATGGATTAAGATTTGATATGTAGTATATTTACGACGATTTGAAAAATAGATGTTCATTAAATAAATACCATTTAAAATTAACTAAATAATAAAAACTTGAAAATCTAAGTTTAAAAATTAACAAGATTCTCAACAATCTGTAAATGTGCAATTATATGAATTATGTTCAAAATATACAAAAATATGCAAAAAAAAAAAAATGTTTTATTTAATCGACAATAAGCCATATCGTGAACATACTGACGAACAATCAATTTAAACTTTCGGAATAAAACATTCAAATGCATATAAATCCTAGCTCTAATTATTATCATTAAAAAATAAAGTTTTTATTTTAATTAATAAACATACTTTAACAAGCCCAGAATATGATAATTTGGGGCCCGAGGCCAAACAATTTTAAGGACCCATAACCATAATCAAAATATTAATGACCTACACAAATATATTTTAGAGACAAAAAAAAAAATTTTTATTCTGATTTATACATTTATTTCTTGTTTTTTTTTTTTAAAAAAAAAATTAAAATGTTAAGTATTTATATGAATAATTTTTTCTTTCATTTTTGGAAGTAAACTATTTAATTATATCATCGGTATTAATTACCTCTAAAACATTACTCTCTGAACACAAAACCATAAAACTATATACTATTTTATACTAGTTAAAAAACGAAAAACCTGCTATCCACCAGGGGCCTACAATTGTTTGATATCCATTATGGGCCCAGGGCCATGGTCCCCTCTGCACCCCTCAATCCGGGCTTATACTTATATTTCGGAAATGTATTATTTTTTTCCAGACAAATCTAGTGTAAAATTTTTTTATCATGGAACAAATAAAATCATCGGATAAAAATATAAAAAAAGTAATAATTAAAATTAAAAAGAAAGTTAATACTTCAAATAAAGCTTCTGCGTTCCCTATTAAGTGAGAATAAAAAACAAAAATTAAATAATCAAGTATTATTTTTTAAAACTGAATTGTTTCATTTCAGATTATTGAATAATCATAAACTAAATTTATCAGTACCGTTGACATCTAAAAGTAAACGATTTTTGAAAATCATTAAGTTATTATTTATTTGTATTAAAATTAATTTATATATTGTTTTTATAATAGATACTCAAAAAACACTTGGTGCTAATCTATATCAAAATATAGATCTTAGTTCAGAAAGACTTCTGAAATTAGCCCCGTATCCAATCTTAGATACTGATCCTGGCTTGAAAAATTTAAATTTCTCAAGTAAATTATCCAGATATCCTCATTCAATAGGTAACATGTCTTCCAAATTGAATGTATCTATGTTGCTTATTTTTTAATGTATATTTATTTTATATAAATATGATAATTTTATTTCTAACTGAACTAATACATAGTAATTGTTAGTTATAATTTTAAACATAAAAATTAGTTTATAAACCTACAGTAAATTAAATCATGCATTTTAAATTAAAATTCCTAATTGATATTTTAAAAAATATATTGTTGATATTAACTATAGCAATATTCAATTTATATTAATTTAAATATTATTTTTATAATAGATACTCAAAAAACACTTAGTGCTAATCTACATCAAAAAATAGATCTTAGGTCAGAAAGACTTTTGAAATTAGCTTCGGATCCAATTTTAGTTACTGATCCTAGGTTGAAAAATTTAAATATCTCAAATAAATTATCCACATCTCCTCATTCACTAGGTAAGAAAATCAATAGATAACATATTACCCAAATTGAATTTATCTATGTAACTTATTTGTTTAATAAATATTTATTTTTTATATATGTAAGATAATTTTATTTCTAACTGAACTAATACATTGTAACTGTTAGTAATAATTTTAAACATAAAAATTAGTTTATAAACCTACAGTTATTTAAATCATGCATTTTAAATTAAAATTCCAAATTAATATTTGAAAAAATATTGTAATGATGTTAATTATAGCAATATTCAATTTATATTAATTTATACATTGTTTTTATAATAGATACTCAAAAAACTCTTGGAGCTAATCTACATCAAAATATAGATCAAAGTTCAGAAAGACTCCTGAAATTAGCTCCGTATCCAATCTTAGGTACTGATCCTGGCTTGAAAAATTTAAATTTCTCAAATAAACTATCCAGATCTTTACATTCAATAGGTAGCATGTTATCCAAATTTAAAGTATATATGTAGTTTATTTTTTTTTAATAAATACTTATTCTTTATAAAAATATAATTTTATTTTTAACTGAACTAATACATAGTAATTGTAAGTTATAATTTTAAACATAAAAATTAGTTTATAAACCTACAGTTAATTAAATCATGCATTTTAAATTAAAATTCCAAATTAATATTTAAAAAAATATTTTATTGATGTTAATTTAAGCAATATTCAATTTATATTAATTTATATATTGTTTTTATAATAGATACTCAAAAAATACTTGGTGCTGATCTACATCAAAAGATAGATCTCAGTTCAGAAATACTTCCGAAATTAGCTCCGGATCCAATCTTAGGTACTAATCCTAGCTTGAAAAATTTAAATTTCTCAAATAAATTATCTAGATCTCCCAATTCACTAAGTAAGATAATCAATAGGTAACATGTTACCTAAGTTTAAGGTATCTATGTAGCTTTCTTATTAAATAAATACTTATATATATACGATTATTTTATTTTTAACTGAGCTAATACATTGTAATTTTTAGTTATAATTTTAAACATAAAAATTAGTTTATATTTACAGTAAATTAAATCATGCATTTTAAATTAAAGTTCCAAATTAATATTTGAAAACATTAATTATGACAATATTCAACTTATAAAATTAACTATAGGAAATTGCGAACAAGAAAATATTTCTGAACCACATTCAGCCCTAAGATTAAGTTTATTTTCAAGTGTACCTCCATACATACGATTTTCTTCGCATGATGTAAAAGGTAATTTTATTTTACATATAAATAATAAGGCTTATTATAACAAAGTTTCGAAATGAATGAATATTAAAAAAAAAAATTTTAATTTTAAAATCTAAATGTAATGGTATTTTTATTATAGGTGAATCATTTCCAATAGCTTTGAAAGTACTGCTGAAATGGGAAATAAATTGCATGACTCCAATTGTTGTACGTCATACCATTCAAAACAGTGATTTTAAATTAGTGGGAAGTGAGTTTAGTTTATTTAGTAATTTAAACAGTTCTTCTTTCACTAAAGATCAAAATTATATAACCTTACAAAATAATTTTGGTAGTACACTACCTATTTTTAATGTTTTTTTGTGACTACTCCTATAAGTACTCAATGAGTTCATGACATTACCTCGATCCACTCGAGTTTGTTTTTCATATTTTGACTAACCTTTCCTTTAAATCTTAATATAATATTGAATATTATTTAATTACATGTTTTAATTTAGAATCTAATGATTGGTTTGGAACATGGGGTAAACATATGAAATCGTTAAATTTTAAAACTCTTCGTGATCAACAAAAATTTAATCATTTTCCGGGAACATTTGAAATTGGACGTAAAGATAGATTATGGAAAAACTTACATAGGCTCATGTTGATATATGGTAACGATCAATTCGGTATTATACCTACATCATACATATTACCTCGTGATGTTAGAAGTTTAAAACAAGTCTGGAAGAAAAATGATAAATGGATTGTTAAACCGGTATTTATTAAACTTATTATTTTCTAATATTTGTTGATAAACGTTTTTTGCTAAACCTAATTTTACTATAGCCAGCATCTGCTAGAGGAACTGGAATTTGTGTGATATCAAAATTAAGTCAAATACCAAATAATGAACATTTAGTTGTACAAAGGTATATTGACAATCCTTATTTAATCAATGATACAAAATTTGATTTAAGACTATATATCCTCATTACTTCAATCAATCCTCTCCGGCTTTATCTATATGATAATGGGCTTGTACGATTTGCTTCAGGTTAAATATTTTTCACTGAATTCTTGACATTTTCACATATTTATTTTTAATTTCAGTCAAGTACTCATCTGATCTTACTACTATATCTGATCGATATATGCATTTGACTAACTACAGTATAAACAGACTCAGTAGTCAGTATACTCAAAATGAAGATGCTGATGCATGCCAAGGACATAAATGGTAAATATATTTTAGAAAATTTATATTTATCTTAATAATTTTTAAATTTTTATTCACCATGTAGTCCTTATTTATCAATTATAATTATTTTAGGACATTGCGATCATTGTGGACTTACATGGAAAAAGAGCGTAAAATTGATGTTAAAAAATTATGGGATAGTTTGGCCGATTTAGTTGTTAAAACAGTAATCAGTGGTGAATTGCCTATGAGCCAAATGTGTTCATCAAACCTAGGCAACCGATACAACGCATATGAGTTATTTGGGATTGATGTATTGTTTGATGAAAATCTAAAGCCTTGGATATTAGAAGTAAAGTAAATTTAACTTTTAGAAGATTGAATTATTTAATTGTTTTATTTATTAGGTTAACATATCTCCTTCTCTTCATACTTCTTCTCCACTTGACGTAGCAGTCAAAGGGCCATTAATTAAAGACTTAATGAATGTGGTTGGTTACCATATACCAAATAAAATGTCACTTACTACGAATGTAAGTTATAGTAGTTTATAAAAATGTAAATTATAATTAAATATTTAATTTGTAACTTTTTAAAATTGTAGAATATATTACTCAAAATGTTAGGAGTCAATTCACCACTATGTTATGATAAAAGATTATATACATTTAATTTATCAGCTAAAGAAAGAAAAAAACAAGAATATTTTGCAAATGTTGAATCTAGAGAAAAAGTATTAAATTATTAATTACATTTAATAAATAAATAATAAATTTTGTTTTAAATTTTTTTAGTATATTGACACCATATTAGAAGATCTTTTACCAGATGATGTTCGACATCTTATTACATATGAAGATGAACTTACTGAAATTGGATCGTATGTACTTTGATGATAAATTATATACATTTTATATTATTGTATGATATTTTATTTATATTTAAAGAAAAGATTTTTTAAATTTTAGATTTCAAAAAGTGTTTCCAACTACTTCATCCTTTAAATATCATGAATTCTTTGATGGTCCCAGGTATTATAATATGCTTTTTGATGCATGGGAATGTAAATATAGTAATAAAAGAGAAGAAGGTAAGGTTCAAAACTTCATCGTATTGTATGTTTTACATAACTATAACAGTTATTATTATTTTAGCTAGATTATTATTTTCAGAGTCAGTTTTGATAACTTATAAACGAATACATTTCAGAAAAAAAATATTTCCTTAGAATTTTCTGCAATCTATAATTTTGATAACTCAAATACATTTTTCTTGTATTTATCATTGAACTTAAAGGTTCTTCTGTATTCCCATAATAAAATTGAATCTATTTCAATAATTTATATCTTCTAAGATGAGATTATTTTATATTTAAGGTATTGCTGTGTTAGAAAAATTGTGTCAGTTAAAAGTTCATTTAGAAGTGTCAGACATCAACGAAGAACAACCAAAAGTAATATTTTAACCAATTTAAATTGAATATAAGTATTACTAAAAAAATATGATATTTACTTCAAAGAGTCATATAAATTATGTAAAAAGATTAGTTCTATAAATGTATTGAAAAATAAATGTGTTAAACAGTTGTTTTAAAATGTTCACAAACATAAGTTTTATACTTATCAACAGATTAATGGATAAAAAATTGTATACATATATATATATATATATTTAAATGTATTAGTATAAACTGATATCCAATACCAATATATTTACAATAAAAATATAAATATAATTAAGTTAATGAAGTAAATATTGAGAGTTCAAACAAATTTTATGATAATTTGTGGTCAGACCACCATAGTTATTGAATATTTTAGTACAAAACTTAAAGAATGAATTTTTTAATTATTAATTCATTGTTTGTAATTTTGTACTTGGTGTTGGTTAGTCTTGACATAAATTAATGGATTATCAAATATTGGATATAAAAAAATGAATATAATATATATAAATTATGATAGGTTATAATTTATTAATTTTTTCTGTTTGAATCGAGAACCGAGTAGGTGCTGTTTTCACATTACTACAACTTAGCCCTAAAATCTATTTATTTATGTTATATTATATTAATAATAAATTGATATGGCCAGACATCATAAATTATTTGATAGGCATTCAAGTTTTTGACTACATATTGAGTGCAAATTCTATTTTATCACTTAATTATTCTATTTGAATTAATATTTATTTAATGATTGGAAAAAATACAGTGACTTCACGTGCTTTATGGATTATTATATATTAGATGTTTTGATATTGTATTTCAAAAAATATTTCAGTAGAGACTTGTTCACAATCAGCTGAAAAATATTAGAATCCTTAATTTATATCTGTAACTCACACAAGTTAATAATTATAAACTAATTTATGTTTAATAATTTACAATTGTTCATAGTATAATTTATTTTTAAACGTATAAATATTGTATGTATAAGTGGATATTTAGGAATTTTTCTTTGACGCCCTTATAATATATTTCTTTGGCCACACCAGTGACGAATACAGGATTTCTAAGGGGAGGAGGGGGGAAATAAAAAACTTATAAAAATTAAGATTGTATTATTTTCACTAAAAAAAAAAAAAAAATAGAGATAATTCATATACTTAATTATTATTTGACCACATATAATACTAAATACATCCTGCTGAAATTGATAAAATATATAACAACTTTTTATTTATAATAATTTATTGACAACTACTTAATAAATATGAGGCAAATATTATTAATATTAGGTATTATTATGTAGAATTACTCCAATCTAAAACTTTTATCCCTCCTAGGTTATTTTTTAATAAAATCAGTTAGTATTTATTTTTCTGTTTTCATAGGAGCGTTATTTTTTTTTTTTTAGAAAACATTGATGAATACATGATTGCTTAATTATAATATCCATTAAATAATTTATAATATAATAAAACATAATGCTTAAATTAAATAGAAATCTTGTAATTTGATTATGTATTATATTTATTATCCTTGATTTATATATTTTATATGCAGCACCATATAATTAAATAAATTGAGGTTTTGATGTATAATATATAATACTACTTTATAACTTCCCCTTATGTATTCATTATTTTATTAATTTATTTTAAATAAAACGGTTATGTATAAATAGTTTTTTGAATTTTTTTTTTTTTTTATCAGACTTGTGACACTCTCCAAAATACACAAATGGAAGTTGAAATATCAGATATTGATAAATTGAATGACCATCAACAAACGGTAAACCGATAACTGATTATAACCAGTCAATAATTTTTTAAATTATTTTATCCTAGTTTTTATAAATATTATATTTGCAAATATAATGAATACCATACATTTTATTTAAACTTTTTAGTTATTTATTATTATTGTTAATATTGCTTATTTCAAGGTATCCTATTTATATTTTAGCTTTTGTGGAGTTATAAACTATAATTATGAAGTCGGCAATTATCAATTATACAGCATGTGGATAGAACATTTTATTTGTAAATATCTTGTTTGATAGTAACTTTATGATTTGTATTTAAGTTCATTTAGGTACAGTTATGACAATATTTATTTAAATAAAAAATATTTAACTATTCTCAACGGCATCTATGTAATTAGTTTAAAATCATTTGAAAGAAATATGTACATCTGCAAAACAAATTCATATAGAGTATTAGTTTATTATTTATTATTTATATTTTTATAGTTAATTATTTAATATTTATTTGATATATATATATATAAATCATTTAAATTAAATCTATTAATTATAAATATTAAGTTTATAATAATAAATATTATTCTTACTTCAAAATAATTTTCGGAATAAATTCAATGATGTTCAAACATACAAAATGACTCAAGAAAACCATTCCACATGTAACACAATATAAAAATCTAATCATATAAATTGAATTAAAAAAAAAAAAAATGTATTATTAAAATTATTTCAATCCAAATCATTCCACTTATATAAAAAAATAACTGTCTAAAATGAATGTAAAAAAAATAAAAAAAATATGTATTATTAAAAAAAGGGGGTTTTCCAATAATTTTTTTAAACTAGTAATAATAATATTTTATAGTACCTATTTATATATATTTAAGTATTGAACAATTTTTTCAGTTAATAAAAAGAAAGTAGTGGAATATATAAATATATTAGTGATGGGTCGAACCCTGATTTTTTAAATCGAACCGAACTCTAAATTATTTTTTCGAACCCTATCTGAACCGAACCTATTATGGTTTTAAGTCGAACTCAATAATTTTTATCATGTACATTGTACCTACCTACAAATTAAATCAACCATAATTAATTATAATTTAAATTTTAGATAATTTCTTATTATTATTATTATTATTATTATTTTTCAAAACCAGTATTGTGCTCTCTCATGTTGTCTTGTAGCTTATAAAATATTCATTGAGTATTGAGTGTAATATGACAACACAATCAGTACATTTTAATAATATATATAAAAAAATAGTAATAACTATAATTCACAAATATAGAATGATTAGTAGAATTTATAATGTAAGACGTAAGTTGTAAACATTATTTTATTAATAGCACAGTCGCGGTATAGGAATATTACCATGGATTTACCCAAAATAGATTTTAACCTTTATAATAAATATGATAAAAACAAAAATAGTTAATTTATGAATGTAGATACACTGCCTATATTCGTGATAAACAATTTATTAATGTTTTGGTAGGCGGAGGGTGGATGTGTAACATGCGACTAGAAAAATAACATTATTATTATAAATAATGCATAACGTGCACTTTACAGATTATCACTTTCTATCGCCAATAGTCCAATTATTTCTAAATAATCATTATCAATTTTTATTTTTCAAAAATAAGTTTTGAAGAATTGTACAAATATTTGGTTTTCGAACTATCGTGGCCAGTAAGTCTGGTTCGACAAATATTTTCAAGTTCAATTTTCGAACAGTAAAAGATGATTGATAATCCGGTTTGATTTTTTTTCATGCCAAGTTCGAATTTTGGACTGAACCGAATATCAAGGTTTCGGTTCGAGATTCGAACAGTTCGACCTATCACTAATATATACATAGCTGTATTCATAGATCATACTTAATTTAAACTTAGTATATACTTTCTTAAGTAAAACATTAGAATTTTCATCAATATCGTATTCATAGATAATTCTTTTTTTTAAAGAAATTTCTCGAGAGGCTGGGGAATATTCCCTGTTCCCGTGAACATTCCTTGGGGAATATTCTTAGTGGCACATCACTAGTCATGATCAAAAAATGTATGATAACATTTGTAAGTATAATAAGTATGATATTCTTTATTTTGTATTCTTTAATTATTACATAAAATGTCTAATTATAAATGAGTTTCTTATATTAAAACCATTATTTCCACCATCATTCATAACTTCAGCATCAATAGTCTCATGTTGAAACTGTGGTTCTAATTGATCCAAATGCATGTTTATTTTATATTTGATACAAATATTATATAATATAACACAGGCTTTTTTGTTAAGATACAAATTAAACTGTTTAAATACTATTTCATATTGTGATACCACAAAAAAAGAATTATAGAACTCACTATCGAGAAATTGTAGTAGCAAGGTTAGGTTGATGTTTTGAAGTTTAACGGAACGTTACAAAACTTTCCATATTGTCATGATATTATTGTTATCAATTATAATACTAATACCTATTTAGGTACTCATATTTCATATCAATCAGCCGTTTCGCGTGTTCAAGATAAACCATTTCTTTTTCTACGTAGAATTTGTAAAAACTTCAGAAAAATGTCGAGGAGGGAGGGTTAAACCCAAACCCAAAACCTAATGATGCCACTGTATAAAAAGATAATTGTAAAACAACCGTTTTACTTATAATTTTTATATTATGTTCAATTAGCACGTAAGCAAATTAAATGCAACTTGTTTAAGCGAAATGCATATAAGACAGAAGACTAACACACAAAGTATGTCTTCTGTGATGGTCGTGTGATTCAACTACCACGGGAAACATGTGTTTTATTATGTATTAACTTACTATGCCCACCTTGAGGTGACACCAGAGATTACACTAACTGGGCTGGAACAGAAACCATTGATCTTGACAAGCAGTTTCCCCTCAGACAAATAGGAGCTGAACCACGATAATAAGGGCTAACCAAACCCAAAATTTAACAGAACGCTCAACAATGCACGGTAGTTCATACGGTCAAAGACTTTTGCGAACTCCAAATAAACGGAATCAAGCTGTGAATGTTTGCTGAAAGCCTCAAAAACGTAATCAGTAAAAATTAAATTACAGGTCGTAACAGAATGCCCACGGCGAAAACCTTTGTTGTTCTTCGATAATGATGTTATTAAAAGGTGTATGTATGGATTTCAAAACTAATGACTTGAGTAATTTGGCAAAGCGACTAATAATACCGATTGACCTGTAACTGATGATATCTGTAATGTCGCCTGACTTAAAAACGGAGTAACCGAACTAATTTTCCTTATATCAGGAAAGACATCTTCTGATAAGGATTTACTATAAAAAAGTAATACTGGAAAACACATAAACAGCCCTAAGTTTATAAATAAAAAAAACCTGAGAGCAAATTTGGGCCGATCGATTTTGTAAGACGTAATTTTAACTAAGCTTGTCTGAACATCGGTTAGACTAACATAACAAGAAGGATTATCGTAAGGTAATCCAACAGGAACACAAAAATCAACATTAATGCCATGTGGCGAAAAAACAGAAATAAATTGTTTAGAGAGAAGCTCACACATAGTAGTTCTGTCGAAACTGAAAATACCATTTAATTTGACAGCAGTAAGCAAATTGGAAAATTTTCTATTTTTCCGCGCGAAATCCCAAAAAGATTTGGGATTGGTACAAAAAGATTGGGTATAATTGTATAGACTATTTCAAACTGATCAGTATTTTGATTCTTGATGTACTAAAAAAGTAGGTATGAACTATAAGAATTATATCAAAAATCCAAAAACTATAAATTTGGTTCAAACTTCAATGTATGAAAAATGATAAATAGATACATTGATAAACAATTAATAGATACCGACGCGCCGCACCAATTTTCCATTGACGCGTGACGCTCATAACATTAACTACAAACACACAATACCGGTTCAGACGGAGCATCAACTATACTACGCTATACCATAACTCCACTCTCCTCGTGACGCGTCACGCGTTCTGTGATCCCACCTTAATGTCGAACGATGTTACAACGACGTGTTTGTGTGGCGTCGCTACCGATCCTACAATGATAGGCGGTTGTCGGCAACGACTCACGTGTTATGTATGTAGACAGGAGCGAAATGGGTTATTCAATTATATATAAAAAAAATAATATATCACAATCAATTAAATAATAATAATAATAATAATAATAACTTAATATAGGGCGCCCCGGGAATACTAAGGTTTTAGGTAAAATACAAAATAATTAATACGCTACACAATATATAAATTAGCGTACAAGAACATTGGAATACCAGGAAATGAGGAATATATAAAAAATCGGCCACGAATGACTTGGTGTGGTAGCACAAAAATGGCACACACTAACATGGGCGGACACAGACGTGTGTTGGGCCCAACCGTTGGAAAAAGACAAACTTTTCACTCGTCAGTCAACGGTCTTGACTGGCGGCATCGTTTTCGCTCGACGGCCTGTCGCTGGACGCTGGAGGGGGAACTTGGGAGGTGGTTTTATTTTCGCTACATTGTGATGCTAGTCTGACGCTGGTAAACGAAAAGGTAGCGGAACGGAAAACCGTCCGAACGACAAACGTACAACTTTGTCCTGAAATATCTGTTCGCACTTTCCGTCATTCAAACATGTCGCCGGTGCCATCTCCGGCTCCTCGACTTACCAAAAACGCTCAATAAGCTCTTCGATAGAAACGGTCATTGAGACAAGTACCGACTGATACGGACTGTTCTCCGGTTCGGACACGACGCCAATTCATATCCACCTAAAAATTGAATTATATGCGGACGGTAACGCGCTATTGACTTTACATTTACGTCCGTCCATGACCGAAGTAAAGACGTCACTACCTAATAATATATCAATCGGCGACGGAACGTAAAAGGACGGGTCGGCTAATGCCAAATTAGAAAACCGGTTTTTGATATCTGCGGGTAACGACTTGCCTGGCAGATCGCCTGTTATAGTGGGTAGCACCCATGCGTGTACTGATAATACAGGCTCGGTCGCAAACCGCGGTTGTACTGTACATTCGACACGGCCATGAACATTAACGGGTACGCCGGATAAGCCGCTTATCGGGGCGGTCCAACGTGATCGCTTTAAGCCTAAGCGTTCGGCGCATGCAACTGTGATAGCGCTTATTTGCGACGCGCATTCGATTTACGCGCGCATGGTTTGCCACGACCCGGTTCGATCGCGCACGTGGACGAGCGCCGTACCTAACATGATAGTGGCGGGGTGGAGGGAAGGCGGTTGTGGAACAGACGCGCACATAACTTGGGCGGGTTGTGCGTCGTCAGTAGTATATCGATCGCCGGTGGACACGTGTAACAGCGAATGGTGTCTCCGCGAACGGTTTATTTTTACATTTCGGAGCCCAGTGCTTGGGACTAAAGCAATTAAAACACATTTTGTGTTCCTGCGTCCACCCGACTCGTTCATCGACATCCCAAGCTTTGAACCGGGTACATGAAACTAACTCATGGGGCCCAGTACAGCATGGACAGGCCTTATCATTTTTGGAAGTTACCATCGACGTCAAGCGATAACCCTGTGACTTCCCGGCGTACTCTTCCCCTTTTCGGATCGGACCAGTTGTTCTATTATTTTTAACTGATGCTGACAAAGCTGCCTTGTTAGGTAACTCCCCGACAACCTCTAATATTGCTACGCGTGTTCGTACGAACTCTAATAATTTAATTAAAGACGGATAATCAGTCATACTACTCGCTTCAAATAATTGACGGGTCGACATCGGTAAACTTCTAAACGCGATCGAGAATAAAATAAATGATCCTAAATCCGGAATCTTAAGAGCCTCTAGCAATGAATAACCCTCATTGAACGTACCCACAAATTTGTTGAGATCACGGAGCGATTCGTGTGATATCGTCGATGTATGTAATAAATTGTCGACGATCGATGTAGCTATTAAGCGCAGTCGATTAAAACGGTCGGACAACGTGGACTAGAGGTGGTAAAGAATAGCAGTAGCAGCTGTAATAGCAGTGCTATTTTACTGTAGCAGTAGCAGGCTGCTAATCTAAAACAAAAATAACAGAGACTGCTATTATTTTTTATCACTTTACCTACACTGCAAAATAATATGATAGAATGATAATATGAAATAAATGTTATATTGATGAAAGACCTGCTATTGCTATCATAACACAAAGCTATTCAAAGTAGCATTATTGTGTATTACACAATCACCTAATTTTACCTTGCCATAAGTTTATTATACTTGGTACTTGCTACTTCGTAGTGCTAAAATGTATACTATACTATTTCAGATTAAACTTGCCCACTCGATCGACGAAAACTCGAACTTCTATAACTAGAAGGATGTAAAAAATAAATCACAATTCTTTTAAAGTGAAAACATGATTAAAAAAGTATTTTATTTTACTATTTTCTTACATTTGTGAATGAAAAAAATGAAAATAACATTAAGTTTGAAGACCAATAACAAACTAAATAATCATTATAACAGTTTTACGCATTATAATTTAAGAAAAGTAGCATTTCCACCTTTTTGCTACTTAAACTACTGCGTCGATCACTTATGAGTTGTCCCGCTTCGGAGAAAACTCTTTCGCGAGGTACCGATATTCCAAGAGCATATAACATCTTTCTTGCCAGTTGACTGAGGTAAGGATAATTATGTTTGTTTTCAAACCACCATTTAAGAGGATCACTATTCCTATTTTGGATTGCCTCTTCTAAATACCGTTGAACTTCTACTAATGCCCTTGATGTACCACAATTGTTCCCATAGGTTGTACTTGTGCTACTTTAGAATCTATTGAGTCCCAAATAGATATTCTATTACTATCACCTTCATGTTCTTGTTGTGGTATGGACTCAATTTCTTCTCTAACAGCATTATTGGGGACTCTGCTAGCAGAAATTATAGCAGCAGTAAGTTCAACTATGTCGTTTTTTGTGGACTGTTTCAATGATGTTGAAAGGGAAACATCTTTAAACCTCGGGTCTAAAAAGGTATACCAAATTAATGTTTTACTTAGTTCTATTGTCCCCAATCTGTCCTTATGACTCATACCACTAATTAATTGTTGTAAAACATTTTGAACAGGTGATGAAAACAGTTTTTGAGTCATCAACTCACAAAAAATCTTGAGTTCTTGTGCTATAATTTGAATTATGGAAGCAGTCATGTATTTGCTACCACTAACTGCTTTTGTCGCTTCCTCAAAAGGACGTAACACTTGGATTAGTTGTTTAGAGATGACCCATTGTTCTGATGTCAGTCCTTGAGGTGGGTTGTCTAATAGGCCAAGAGTTCCCCTTATGGAATCTTCTAATTCTACAAAACGATCCAGCATATAGTAAGTGGAGTTCCATCGAGTACATACGTTTTGTAAAAGTTTTTTAGGTATTTTGAAACCATTATTACTTTGATACTCATTTAGTTTATGAGATGCTCTGCTACTTTTTTTGAAATGAGTGATAATAGATTTTATTTTTTCAATTAAGTCAATTTCTAGTTTTAGCGCATCTTGAACAATTAAGTTCAGTGTATGAGCGAAACATCCAAACGATTTTATTTTTAATAAACTTAATGCGTTTTTTATATTGCTGGTTTTATATTGCTGGCATTATCCGACACAGCTAAGACAATTGTGCTATTTAATATTTCCCATTCATCTAAAGTTTTTTGTATTGTTTTGCATAAGTTAAGACCAGATTGACTCTCAGAAAACTCATAGCAGCCTAACAATACTGATTTTAGTTCAAAATTAGTATTAATGAAATGGTATGTTAGGGATATATATGCTATATTGCTTCAAGAAGTCCAGCAATCAGTTATAAGACAACCCTTTATAGCTTCGTTTCTTAGGAGTTCTTTTGTATCATTCACACATTTCTGATATTTGGCTGGAATAAGAACTTTAGAAATTGTGTGGCGATCAGGCATTTTATATGATGCATTAAGAAGCTGAACAAAATCTTTGAAGCCTTTGTCTTCTACCATTTTAAGGGTTGGAAATCTTTAGTAAACAAATTCATAAGCCCATCATCAATTTTTTTTTAACATCAAAAGTCATTTTTTTTGGAACATAAGAAGTTATAGTTGCTTGTTTTCGTTTGTTTTGTATTGGAGGTACTACTGTATTAGAACTAGTACTAGAAGGCTGTAGATGTAAAAGAGAACCTAAATTACTTTGGACTGTTTCATTTAATGGTGCAGATAATTTAGATGTTGATAGTAGATTATTGACTGTATCTGGATTGTCAACAAGTTCTTCGTTTTCAACTGTCCGTATAAATTTGAGTTATTTATATTATGAATATAAGTTTAAGTTTTTATAATTATTAGATATATACATATAATTGTACTTAATTTAATGTTGTGGTTTTTTACCTTAACTTAAGTAATATAATTGTTTTTATATACTATTTTGATATGTTTTTGACTTTAAATTTAAGCTAACTTACTGATGTTTTTTTAATTTATTTTATTTTTTTTCAGGCTAGCAGTGAAGTAAGCCTAAAATTATGGTGACCATACGTACTCTTTTTCATAGGACAGTACTCTTTTTAGATGCATTGTCCTATTGTCCTTAATACTAGTGTAAAGTACACACAAATGTACTATTTTTTAACTTATAACTAATATTTATAAAAAAAAAAAAATTATATTATACAATGTTATAAAGTTTAATTTTATAAAGTTAAACATGTAGGAAACATGTTATTTTTATCAAATTTAAATATTTTGTTTTTATATCATAAAATTTCAAATTGTATTAAAATTAAATTTGTAGAAAACATTTAATTAAAGTTTTGTACTTAAAGTTTAATTTTTAATTTATTATATTTACATGCAAATTTATAATTCTTTTAATGTATTCAGTTACAAATTATTTTCTTATAAAGACACACACCAAATAAGCTGACACTCTAATGAAATTGTTATTTTTAATAAATAATAAATACTTTATATAATTGATAATATAAATATATTATATAATTAATTAAATAAAGACACAAATTTTATAGCTAGAGACTATTGGTTATAGTCAAAATAGGTAGAATGTATAGACATTAGTCAATTCTATCAGGGTAAAGGTTTTTCGTGGTAAAAAGGCAAAGTTTTAAAATGTATTTCTTTTTAAATTTTTATATCTGGTCACCATACCTATAATACCAAAAAGTTTATGATACTCATTATTCTGTTATAAACAGTTTCAATTAGTAATTTATTTTATAAATATGAATACAAAATATTATTAATCCTTTTAAATATAAAGTTAATTTATTAGGATTTTAGTTGAAGATTTTAATTGTACTACTGAATACTGATTTAACTTAAAAATATGTTGTGGTTTTAATGATTTTATAAATATTATTTTACTTTGCAAAAGGAAATGAATGAATGTTTAAAATGTTTCACATTAGATAATAATTTTTATTTGATTTTAGATTAATAAAAATGAATTTTAGCCTTAAGGATTTTAGAAAAATTCTAATCCAACAAATATAATTTATTGATTGAATTGATTATAATTAAGATACGTCTATTTTTGATTATAAATTGATTTTATATTTTATGTTATGCATAATATTATCATTATGGTATTTTTATTTCAAAATAAGTATACAATTTTAGTCAAATATTTTACTTTTATAACTACTTAGTTTGAATATAATTTAAAACAACTTGGAGAACTGTATTAATTTTTTTCTTCCCCATATATATTTAAATTAAAAATATTTACTTGATTTGGAGTCATTTGAATCTAATGGGCCTTTGCAAGATGCGTTTTTAAATTTGTAACACTAGTTTTAAACAAGTATTTTCGCTTACAAATTTCACATTTAGCAAAACTAGTGTTATCGATCACAGTAAAATGTGATTAAACAGAACTTGATTTTCTATTTAAATTCATTTTTATAGATACAAAATATAATAAAAGTATAAAACACAACTGACCGAGTTAAGTTGGAAGAACTCAACAACTAAACAAGGAATGAGGTTTGGATTTGGTTTTCGTTTCTTATAAAGTTAACCATTAAACTGTCTTAATTGACTTAGGTAATAGGTAAAGTGTATTAGTTTGTTTTCCGAGTATCAAAATGTAATACTCTTTTAATGGAGAAGGTTTAAACCCCAGAACATCTTAACCATGTGACAATGACAATGACTGATCTACTATATATTATTAGTGTTATATTTTAGTTCTAGTAATCTAGTGCATTAATTATTACTCTTTACAGAGAAATAATTTATCACAGTTGACTAAGAATTCATATTATGAAATAAAACTATAACCCAATAAAATGATTACTAGAATGAATTAGCTGCTAATAATTACTGGCTACTGCTAATAATTAAAATAGCATTTAAAACTTGGTTGATATCTATTATCTAAGGAAATAGCAGTAGCTGCTATTTTTCACTGCTATTTTCAAATAGCATTAGCAGTTGCTATTAAATTTAATAGCAGTTTACTACCTCTAACGTGGACCACACTAACGCGTAATTATCCGCGGAAACCGGTATACCTTGCACTGCCTCCGCAGCAGCACAGCCTATCAAATAGTACATTTTATCGATGTCGGACAACTTAGGACGATTGTCCACTACTGCCGTAAACCGGTCGCGAAAGGTGGACCACGCTTGGAAATCACCATTGAAGGTGGGTAAAGGGATTTCTGGTAGTCGCGAGAACGTATTACCGGTATCATCGGACGCGACAGTGTGGGACGGGATTTTATCTCGTAAGTAAGTCAGATCAATGGCCTCCACCTCTTTAGATATTAACGAATTGGCCACAGCTTTAGAGTCGGTGATAAGCCGGTGCACCTCGGCTATCGCATCAGGCGAGTACTCATCGAGCTTATCTAACATAACTAAATAATCTAATACACTATCATCTTCGGTCTTAAATTGAGTCCATAATGAATCTAGATCCGCCACGATAACAGAAAACGAGGATCCTACACTTGGTTCACTTGCTACCCGCACGCCTAAATCATATATCGATCGAATTTGCGCGATAATGCTGGTGCGCTTGACCTTCGCACGAGCTAATAATCGAATGACACGGTCTGTCTCTTGCCTAGCTTCCTCACCCTTAACGACCGGTAAAACCACTAAACTTTATCGCACACGCCCTATTTATACTTTATGGTCTCGGCCGACGTGAGTACACGAGCACTCTTACCCGGACCCAACAATGTATATCAAAACCCACTCCATACACAACATTAGTGTTGGGCCTTAGGGCCCATTTCACACAGGACGGTTTTGTCCGTGCGGATTTTATTCGTACGATTTTTCTCCGCACGGACGTTGTTTTCACACAATACAGTTTTTCTCCGTGAATCGTCTACATTTGGTTATATTTTATCTTTTTTAACTCAGTTGAATTTCAACATGAGTCGAAAACGCATCATTGCCATGTAGACGGTAAACGACTAAAAACCGTGAAGTATGAATACGCGTGTCTAGTCACGTAGGCCACTGATAAGACGGCGACGGCACGGCGCCGTGATTTTCAGTCGTTGACACGGCTGTATCACGGCGACCGTACGGATAAAATTCGCCCACCGTCCCGTGTGAAAGCCACAATTAATTTTATTTGTTTACTACCAAATAAAATCCGTACGATTAAAATCCGCACGGACGAATCCGTCCTGTGTGAAATGGGCCTAAGGACACAACACACACGCTCCGAACCCCCCTAGAAGGTCGAAACCACGCTCTGCTACCAAAAATGTGGCGCCGCTACCGATCCTACAATGATAGGCGATTGTCGGCAACGACTCGCGTGTTATGGATGTAGACAGGAGTGAAGTGGGTTACTCAATTAGATATAAAAAAATAATATATCACAATAAATTAAATAATAATAATAATAATAATTATAACTTAATATAGGGTGCCCCGGGAATACTAAGGTTTTAGGTAAAATATAAAATAATTAATACGCTACACAATATATAAATTAAAGCACAAGAACATTGGAATACACATATTACACATATTACAATAAATGAAAAAAGACGACCGGGTTCGTGATACCCTCTTCGTCGATACACGTAATGTTGACCCGCAGTTGTCAAATGGCACGATGGTCCAGCCACACAACACCGACAATCGGGAATGGTATGGTCCATCAGGAAATGAGGAATATATAAAAAATCGGCCACGAATGACTTGGTGTGCAGCACAAAAATGGCACACACTAAGGCTAGTCGCTGACATGCAATTTTCAGTTGCGCAACAGTTTAATCGCATTAGTGAATTTTACAGCGTTAAATGACGATGAGCTCACGTGCAACTGATTAGTTTGACCAACTAATTAGTTTGTGTTTTGTCACAAATCGTTCGATTGCGCGATTACATCCTATGTATCATAATGTGACACGAGAGTACAGTTACATTTGTGAGTGCGGTATGATGAAACTGTTGCGCAACTATCGCACAACTGTGACTGTATGTATGACACATGTCAGCGACTAGCCTAATGATGGGCGGACACAGACGTGTGTCGGGCCCAACCGTTGGAAAAAGACAAACTTTTCACTCGTCAGTCAACGGTCTTGACTGGCGGCATCGTTTTCGCTCGACGGCCTGTCGCTGAACGCTGGAGGGAGAACTTGGGAGGTGGTTTTATGTCCGCTACATTGTGATTAGTGATGGGCAAAAGTGACTAATAACTACCGACTTAGTCGGTAGTATCAAATGACTAATTTAGTTACTCAGACATTTTTATTATTCGACTAGTTATTATTATTCGACTAATTTTTATTATTCGACTAGTTATTATTATTCTTCGACTAATTTTTATTATTTGACAAGTTATTATTATTCGACTAATTACCATTATTCAATTTGACTTTTTTTTATTATTCGACTGATTTTTATTGGACTGATTGCAAACTTTAGCATGAATTACTTTAATTCAACATATAACAAAAATTATAATAATATAACAAAAAACATAAACATAACTAGGAAAAATAAATACAAATTTACAACTGTTTTAAATTTGTAGTGTGTGCGACGTGCGCCGTGCGTGTCATTATCGTTATTTTTGTTTTGACTATGTATGACTGCTGCAGTCAACTGCGGAAACAAAACTTTACCTTTAAATAGAATTACGACTACAATTTAAATTTCTTAGAATTACCGAGTTATCAGTTATTTTAGTCGACTAATTTCATTTATTCATATTAGTTGGTTGGAAAAAAGTAGTCGAATAATTAGTCGACTAATTTTATTTATTCATATTAGTTGGTTGGAAAAAAATAGTCGACTAATTATTCGACTAATTTCTATGATTTGTATATAGCTGGTCGTGTAAATTATTAGTCGAATAATAGTCGGTAGTACGTAATGAAAACCGAATAATAGTAGGTAGTATCAAATAGTCGTTTCTGCCCATCACTATTTGTGATGCCCGAAACAAGCATATATATATATATATATATATATACCGGGCAGACTCGTTCCGCGTTCGAACAGTTTGGATGTATGTACAAACATTTTTATAAACACACGATAGAAAA